TTTGTAACTGTCACGTTATGGTCTTTCGAGGAGAATAATTCGTCTATTCATGTAGGTATGTTTGTATAGGAATGACTAAACAGAATGGAGATAACCTAACTCCGCCTTGTGTATAACGTCACCCCATATCAAAAGACCAATTTCGACCTTATTAAGGACTGTCCCGATCCCAAATTCACTGCAAAATGTTGCTTCGTAAGCGTTTTGGGATTGTTGATAACAGTTTTAAGTTTTGAAGCGTTTCCAATGGTTTCCAACCTCCTTTAGACGCCTTTATGCGTCACTTACAAACAAGCAGTAAGGGTCTTCTAAACGTGGTTTCCAGCGAGAAAGGCTTCGTGGGAATTTCCGCGCCTTCTGAGATTTTCATGGTTAAATTACTTGGACTTATTCAAAATGGCTGTCACTGGTCATCTTATTAGAAATAAACACGGCTTTTCGTCTTGGCTGGGGATTAGAAGGATGTGCCTTTCCTACCCTATCACGTAAAGTTCCTTAAACACTTTGAAACCTTTTGCTGCACTTCTCAAAGAAGCTACTCCGCATCACTCTCATAGCCTTTTCCAAAACATCGGTAGTCAACGACGTTAAAAGGTACGGTCAGAGAACATTTGCATCATTCGAAAATTCTCGTCTCATTTGAAACAAGAATGATCGATGTCATTAGAATGCACAATCATCAGTTTCACTTTATCCCCAGAACAAACAAACTACTTACTCCTTACGGTTAAAGAGCGACTCATTCAAACCTATTAAATGAATCTTGTTCAGTTCATATTTTTAATACGTTTAGACATAGGGTGGTTCAACCCCCTTATATGTAAAAAAAAGCCTGATGCAAGTTTGTATGAGATTTTCGAAGTGTACGTCATATTCTCCATAAATGAAATGCAAAAAATTAAGTTTATGTCGTTTTAGCGCAATTAAATGCCATAATAAAGCGATAGCAACAACTCAAAATAAGTCACATGTACTCAACGTTTCATTTTTGAATGGGGATATGCTCATTAAAATATGCAATGAAACTACTTGTGATAGTGGATAAAAAAAACCTTATGATAAAACTTATGATAAAACGTAGTGGGTATAGATTACAATACCTTACTTTCATCTGTAATGAGATACACTATAACGTTGAACAATTATGGAATTTCGTACTCGAGCAATGAAAAAATTAACGAAAAATATTTTAATAAACTCCATGTTTACCCACCTACGTGGTTACTGAACTTTCCCTCGAACGTCTATATATTTCATTTTGAGGGTAAACAAATTTTATTTACTCGAAGGAAATCAAACGTTGACTAAAATTGAGCGAGGGCGCCATAGTCGTAATACTCTTTAATCCAACGCTCTAATTTATTTATTTCATAAGAAATCTTTACTTCCACAGCTCGCGGCTACCTGTGCAATAGCTCTCACCTACTCCGGGGAATTCAGACCTTATGTTAAAGACCACTGCAGTGCTAAAATAGAATAAATGGTTCAAAGAATTTTATGTGCCCCGTTTTTCCCTTGTGGCACGAATTGATTTGTCTTCGTTGTTTATACTCTACAGTCCACAATAAAGTGTCATCGTTGCCCTCCTCTTAAAATTGTCAAAGTAGCGCAAGACTTAATTAGTTCGTCCTCGGCGACAGTTAAATTAGCAAAATAATGAAAAATGACGAAATAAAAATTTGCCTCACGTTCTCTAGTTTTATCTCGTACCGCTAGGGATTATTTTGACGCGCCACACGATCTTATTTTTTCTTTTTTTCCATTTAGGGGTCAAATCATAGGGGATATTAGTCTAGCTTTTATTACAATTTAAAAATATTGGGGAAAGTTTTAAGTAATAATTTAACATTGGAGCCGACTTCGTAGTGATTCTAACACTGTATTATTGAGCGTAGATATTAATATCATTAACTAAATTACAAAAACTAATTTTCTAGTCCTTGGTCCTTGGACTAATCAACATGTTTTGTCGTTTATTAGATTGTGACCAAAGAGCCACTTTTCCTCCCTGGGGGGCAACAGTAAATAAAAGAGGAAAACAATGAAGCGTCGTTTTTCTATATTTTATCTGACCTGATATGAATTTTTGTTTGTTTACGGAGTCAGTTTAATGAGAGGAATTCTGCTGTCAACGATTTGTAAGTACGTATGTATTCCTTTTCTGTGTATGGCTCTGTTACCATTGACTTTTGAAAAAATAAGTAAAGTAAGAATGTGGTAGGTAGGTACTATAGGTGAGGCTGTGTTTCGAATAATAGAGCATTAAAGTCCCATTAATTTGGTCACAGTAATTTCTCCAAGGGTAGCCATATTCGACCATGACCGTATTAAAAGGACCTTTTTTAGCAGACCTTTATTTTTATGCTTCACATTTTTCATGTAATTTGAAAAACTTCGTGCTGTAGTATAAGGGATCATTTCTTTCCAGAAAAAATCACTAGAGAAAACATGATAGTGTAATATTTAAGCCCTATGAAATTATATTTTACGAAATACGCTACTCATTATCCTAATACAGGCTCGATTTTAATGATCTCAGTTAATTGTGCACTCCCCCAAAATGTTCTCATTTCGCAATAAAGTCCTAAGGTGCATCCAAAATGTCCAATTGTGTATCCCATATCTATATATTATTGCCTTAAAAATTAATATTTGTTTCCCAAAGTTTCTTTCAAAATTTCCTTCCAGTTATTCAGAATGATTTCTCATACCCTCATCGTGTCCCGCGCATCGCTAAAGTGTCCTTATATTTCCTACAGAATTTTCATTAATTTTTACAGTTTTATGCATTGAGATAAACTACCCCAATTTATATACTACACTTCCTTACACTAACCACTTAAAATTTGTCTTTTTTCTCAATCCCCTTTTGACTTCCTTTTGCTGGTATTCCCTCAGAATTTCGTCGTCGCGTATTTTTCATATCCGTCACACAAGACCACCTCTCTTGTTCCCACAAAGTCCACTTATCTCTTTACAGAAATTCCCTCTAAGTTCCTCAAAGCTTCTTGGATAACCAATTTTTAAAGATTGATCGTTATTTTGCAAACCTTTCCACGCGTTTCCGTAAAGTTGCTACGTATTTCTCCAGGATCTTCTTTTGTTTCCTCTTATTCTGGAAAAACTGGTGAATGGAAATACACGGAAAACTAATTCATGTCTCTGGTCCGAAGTAATTTGGGAAATGGAATAATTACGTAATAATCTAGGAATAAGTTTCTGCTCTTGATAAATGTCATTTCGTTATCTCAAGAAAATGTGATTTGGGTGAAATACAAATTCATGCTTTTTTAGACGAAAGGAGGAGCACAAATAGGAGGAAAAATAATAGGGGATTTCAATTTCAAAGGATGGGGACGACAGCAGGCCACATCTAACGGATGAATTTTGCAACACCCCTTCATAGGGGTTTACAGATAGAATGATTTCAATACCGATTTCGATCTTTGTTGCATCTTCCCCAATTACTAAATATTTGTTCTCTAAATATATTCAATAATTTTGCAGTTTCCTACCTTTCATTTAAATGTTCTGAACAGTTTTTAATAATTCGTAAGAAAGCCTTTAAAACCCTTTACGAGCTATAAGGGTATCCAAGTGCATTTTAAAGCACTTTACAGTTACTAAAGCCTCTAAGGGCTTGTAGTATCCCGTCATGTCTGATGCAAATCTCTTCCACTTCTACACACATCTTCTTTACACTTTCTTGACATTTAGTTTGTCAGGTGTCTTTCGTATGTCTATCTTCTTTGTGTCTCTTTTATATTTGCGAATTGCTTCACTTCTCCACCACGTCTACTTTAAACTTACCTCGCGCCTTCTTCCTGTATTCTTCAGCCCTCATTTACACTTTCGTCACAAACTCTGCCTGCTTTCCTCGCACTTTGTACATTCCAGCACCTCTTTTTCTTTCACTTTTCCTTCAAGCTATCTTTACTCCTAACCCACGTCTTGCATGAGTCTTTCTTCCCACTTCCCTTCACGCGCTACACTTGTCCTTCGCACTCTTTGCAGTCTTCCTCATGCTTTCTCCGCCTATCCTCCACTTTAAAAATATCTCTCACCAATACTGGTTTCATGACGAGTCAGTGGAGGACGTTGTTCCGCAGGGAGGAGCTTGATAAGGTCCTCCTCGTATCTGTTGTTGATGAAGCATCCGAGCGGGCACTTTCAAGCGCACGCGAGCGTCTCGTATGTCACATTGTGGTGAAACCGAGTGCTCCGTTTGCACCAGGTAAGAAAAAGGGTTCCACAGGAGCAGCGGGACCCAGTTCTGTTAGGACGGAGGAGCCTCAATCCCTCGTTATCCAGACCGCATGGGCGTCGGAATTACTACCAGCGCTCTCAGAGGTCGAGAAAGATGCGACGAGTTTTGGACACGTGGGGCGGTTTTTGGCTCCGATCAGGGGTCGGAACTGTCCGCATGAATAGGGGAGGGACCTAGTACATCAGTAATGGACGAGGTAACCTTCTTACAGAGCAATTTGCAGCACAGTAAAAGGGCGACCTGGTTAATAGACTGCCAACATGCTGAAAAGCCTATATTCTTCATAAAAGAACCTTGGGTTTACAGGGGACGCGTAAGAGGTCTGGGCCAGGTGGAGGACTTTCTGTATAGGAGGGACAGCTAAGTGAACCCTAGGATGTCGATATATGATTACAGTCTTATCTAATGGCTTATTTCTGATGTTTCGGGGATTTCGTAGCTCTAAAACTTCAGCTAAAAGGTGGCAGAGGTGACGGAGCAGGCAATTGGTGGTCTGCTCAACCTATCCTCCATACGACTCAAAAGAGGCTCCACCTACCAGGGAGTTAGTTGAGTTGATAGATTACGGTGGACTGTGATGCAAACGCACACTATGTTGCGTGGGGAAGCACGGACACGACTCGAGGGGCGACCAATTGCAAACAACTGATTTTAATAGCCCCTACCTTCGCCACAGCGCAGAGGTTATCGATCTGACGTTTTAAAAAAGCTAGAGGCAACATTTTGCAATAAATAAGGCTGCGTTCTTATTTTTATTTGAAAGTTTAAAAAAAGACATTGCTCAGAAAATAGAAGAAAGCGCCCTCTCGCCTTTCGAAAGCATCTTCTGTGGTGTTATATGCTATATATGTAAATTAACAATAATTAACGCTTTTCTCACTGTCAGCTTTGACTTTCTTTATATAAAGGTCAAACGGCATTGCATAGTTCACATGGCCCATCGAACACATTATTCCATTGATATTAGTGACGTCATACCACCCCTCCCCCGTTCCGAATGTGTCAATACCAACGGTTTTAAAGAACTTAACCAAATTCGTTAGCACCGCGCAATCCCATATGTTATCCTTTAGTATTATCACTTTCAGCGTAGGAGCGGCTTGGCGTAGAGCCTGGGCGTCTAAATAAAACAGATTATTTCTAGATATATCCAAATAGTAGATTGATGCCATGGGTAGCAAAAGCGACGGGTCCATTTCGGAAAATTCGTTGTTGGCGAGATTTATCGTTAATAATCGTTTCAGGCCTGAAAAGGTTCCAGGCAAAAAGTTACGCAGCTTATTCCCTTTCAAGTCCAAGCCTTTCAGCAGATCATTATATTGAAACATCCCCAACGGTATGTAGCATATTTTGTTGAACTGCAGGTCTAAAATTTCCATAGTCGAGAGTCCTTTAAGCGAATCCTTGTGCAATATTGCAATGTTACTGAATGACAAATTAAATGTTGTTATTTGATCAACCTGTTCAAATGCGCCTCCAGGAATTTCCACAATGTTATTGTGGCTTAAGTGTACAGCAAGGGCTTTCAATCCATCAAAAACTCCTGGAGTTATGTGTGTTAACGCGTTGTGCTCCAGATTTAACTCGTTTATTTGTGTTAAGCCTCTGAACGCTCCCGGTTCGATTCCAGAGATATTGTTGTTCTGTAAGTAGAGATAGCGCAGTTTGGTCAGCATGCTAAAGGCGTTGCTTGTAATATTTTGGATGCCGCTGCTTGACAGATTGAACGAAGGGACATCGGCGGACGTAGGAAACGTTCCCGATCGAAACACTGGAATCTCGCATCCTGCACATTTGATGTTGTATGCGCCGTAAAACATTGATGGAAATGTGCCCTTGATTCCTGAACAAAGGTAGGTGAGCTTATCGTGCGCGAAGGTGCAGACACTCTTTATGTCTTGCGAATTAGCTAATGCTATGCTGCATATGACTAAAGGGATCCATTTGAACTGCATCCTAGAAAAACAAAGTATGTGGGTAAACATAATGGTTTGGTCGTATTAGGGTGTCTTTTTGTATTATTGGGTACGTAAATCAGTGGAAACGTATATGAGAGTTAAACCAATGTACTGATGCTCTATTTGGCGATAGTTTATGCACCGTATGGATACAAAACTGGTACGAAAAGATGCATTATTCAAAAATGTTTTTCCATTTCGAAATTAACTGCTCCTATTGTTACTTTGAAGGTTATTTATTTCCATTGGTAATTTCGGACTTTGATTGAATCAATACTTGTAAATGGAGAATCTGGTCAATGTTTGCTCGGACTCGGGCAAAAAATTATAGAAATATCCTTTTTGGAAGTTTGGAACTACTTTTTCAAACAGTATTTCATTCAATACCTACTGTACACTTTTTTTTATTGTAAGGGGGGGTTTAGGAAAAAATAACGAGTGAAGAAGTTGTGGCATCGAATAAACATACAAGTTAAGAAAATGTGAAGTTGTGTTTGTTTCTCTATCTATGGGTTTTAGCATGGGTAACATGTGATTTTAATTTGCAAATTGGATAAAACCGAATCACGTCAATTCACAATTCACTACAATTGCGGATCATTGCGTTTATCGGCAGCCAAATTGATGTAGCAAGGTAAATTGTCACATTTACAAAATATTGCTATTTAATTGTAAATTGCTCACCTGGTTATTTGGTAGACACCGAAACGCCGAATGAGAAAATAATATTAATTTCACTATTGTTCGGTTTAAAGAAATAATGAATAATGCTAATATCACTTCCGTTCATTTTTCCGATGTTACAATTGCGTTTAACCACGCGCTTATAGCAAAATACCAATGATGAAACTACATATTTTAGTCACAGAAGAAATGTGGTAAGCCCAATTTATTCAAAACAAAGGATTCGTGATTCAATCACCTTTGTACAAAAGAATCTGTTGGCTGCATTTTGTATATCTACAATTCTACCCCTCTGATAGCGCATTATAGAAACATTCGGTTGATTTGTAAAATGAAACATAATATGCAGGTTAATTAGGTAGAAACTAAGGTTATTATTTACCCTTAAAGGGGGTATCCTAGTTTGGTTCCCTTGGAGCCTATTGAACCCCTTGGCTTAACCCCACTCCCTGAGAGATTCGTGTCTTAAAAAATCCAAGATCACGGGAGAGGCATTTTAAAGCATTCCTAAAATCATCTTCCTTTTCCCAAAGGTATTTACGTGCAGATATGTTTAAAGCTTTGTAAATTTGAATAATAATGATATCATTTATTGCGATGTAAAATAATACAATTGTAATACATAGGTATATCTCAAAAGGGGACAGGTCAGTATGCTGGTTTTCACCGCTCTCATAATAATGACCTGATGATTGCCACTACATTCCTAGTACCATCTTCAACTGAGCTACTTTCGTTCTTCCAACTCCTCAAATTTAAGGGATGTTATTAATTCTATGCCAAGGAGACGTGGAGACGCAAAGAATGCGGATGAGCGAAATGTTAATCAAGTGAGGGGAACGAACAATAGAGTGACAGAGGTGTAAATCGCGCAAGGAGTGCATATAAAGGTGTAAAGAAGGAAGATGGTTTAAAAAATGTGAGAAAAAAACTTGAACGTGTGGATGATGGAAACGAAGACAAAACTTGCAGGAAGCGTAAAAAAACGTGAAGGAGATTATTTGAAAGAGAGATAAAAGGAAAAAGAGAGGTTTTAAACAATGAGCTTGACTGGGGAACAAATACACTCGATATCTGCACGAAGGAAGTATAAGGGAGATGTGAATTAGATGGAAAACGAGCAGTGGATTTGACATAAAGTGATCGTGAAGAAGACGTGATGAGACGTTGTAACTTTTGAACTAGTAGCCCAATCTTGGAACTGTTTGAAATTATGGATTCTACAGGCCACGTTCTATAAGAAAAATTTTCCGGGTCGATCTGAGACAATTTTTTTTCGGGGCAAAAAAACTGGGTTTACCAAGCCAGTGAAATATTTGGGAATCATCATAGACTTCCGCCTAACCTAAAAAGGGCGCATTGAGCCAATAAGCTAAGAAAGTCACTGCATGTCTATGGGCATGTAGAAGGACTTTTGCCTGTGCATGGAGTTGAACTCTTCACGTCTTCACTGGTATATTGGTTTTACACTCTAGTGATAAGGCCAATAATACTGTACGATGCACTTATATGGTGGCCTGCCATGCGCAGGTCAACCGACTGAAGCAATGAAATTCACGTCAACTTTGACCATGAAGGCACTTCTGGGACGAACGCCTTTATACTTAGCTGTGGAGGCAGAGGCTCGGAAGGTTTCCATCATACGGCTAAATTATTGGAACAAGTGGAAGGTTCGAGACAGCTTTGAACACGGGCGGATCTGTGAGAAACCCCATAGCACAGTGCTTCAAACAGAGGTGTTAGTCATCATACCTGCGCAGTGAAGAACCTCCGTATAGGTTACCGTAATAAGCATATTATACACAGTGATATTCATGTAGAAGTAGACATAGGGATTTCCTATAGGAATTTCCTTTGTCTACTTTTACCTGATAAAAGGTCTCCTGAAAGACGCCTAATTTTATGCAACCCAAGTAACTACCTACAACAAATGAGGATCTGCCTGCCACATTAATTATTTATTAATTAGCGTCAGTCTGCAAAGAGGCCCCTCTAATTTTCCGGTTGTTAGTATGGATGTACCATCCCCATACCCCAGCGTATAGTATCTATTGTCATTGGGGCGACAGAGGGGCCCGTTTACAGTTAAGAAGTGGTGATGGCACCACACCTTTGGGGCATTCTCTCACTACTGTGCACCTTAGTATTTGGTCGCCAACGCTGATGTGCACTACACTGAGATTCAACAGTTGCCGCAACCCACCCTCGTACGATTTTTTTTACACCGTGATGGCGTAAAACCATGGTTCCTTGTTTCTAAGGTTGTTTTGTCAAAAGCCCCTTCTATATCTATGATACTACCCGTGTGGACTGTTTATAATCCGGCGATCTTTCATCCGCCCTATACGACGCACTGCAGGGCTGACTCTGTAGATCTTCCTGGGGAGTATGCGTGTTGATTAATGATTAGGGTGCAGTGGAAACGGCCGTGTTAAAGCCGTATCCACTATGTATCTATCGCACAGTCTTTCAAGTGTCTTAAGAAGAAAAGACCAGTGATGTTCCCACCAATTTCTTTGAGAGTGTACTCAGTTGAGCGGGTGGTTGTGATGTTCCCTTTAATACGCAAGGGGGGATCATCCCCCGACACATTTATAAGGTTTTGTGTACTTTTAAATGACAAAATCTCCTTCTGAAAGACGCCTAATTTTATGCAACCAAAATAACATTGCATAAAATTAAGCGTCCTTCAGAAGGTTTTTGTCATTTAAAAGTAGACATAGGGAAAACAATACACACAAATCCCTATGTCTACTTCTCAATGAATTCTCACTCCGCAACAAAAAAGTTGAGTACTGCAGACATATCGTTCTGACTCCTCTCAACAACATGTTCACGACTGCCACGTGGGATTTTCAAATGCAAAAAAGTATTTGTAATATTCTAACCTCAATCTCAATCAAAAGGTTTTCAAATATGCTTTCGCCGTTAGAAGCTGCTAAACAAACAGCAGCTCATAAGGCAATCAATAAACATGTTGAAAATAATTTTGTATTGGGAATAGGTTCCGGCTCTACCATAGTTTATGCAGTCGAAAGATTGGCGGAGAGGGTTGCCAAAGAGAATCTGGAGGTGGTTTGTATTCCAACTTCATTCCAAGCCAAACAGCTAATTGTTAAACACGGGTTAAAACTAGGCAGTTTGGATACACATCCAATACTCGATGTTTGCATAGACGGTGCGGATGAGGTGGACGCCAATCTCAACATAATAAAAGGCGGAGGGGCCTGCCTATTGGAAGAGAAGATTATTGCCAGTTGTGCAAACGGATTAGTGATCATAGCAGATTACACAAAAAATTCCACAAAGTTAGGAGACCAGTATAAAAAAGGTATTCCAATTGAGGTCGTACCTATGAGTTACGTCCCCGTTCGGAACAAAATCCGTAATACCTTTGGTGGGGAGGTCAATTTACGAATGGCAGTCGCCAAAGCCGGTCCGGTCATTACGGATAATGGGAATTTTATCTTGGACTGGGTTAATTTTAAGCAATTGGACGATTGGAAAGAGGTAAATACGGCAATACGGATGATTCCGGGTGTCGTTGAAACCGGACTCTTCCTGCAAATGGCCAAAATCGTTTACTTCGGGCAAGCAGACGGAACCATCAAAGAACAAACTGCAAAGGACGGTCATTAATACTTTTGCTATTACACTTTTACAATAAGCATTTTATACAATTAATTAAGTCTTAAATGGTTTTTAGGTGAATAAATGTTGGCTTTACATTGTTTGTTAATTGTGAAAGATAAAATTGCCACAACATTGCGTTAAGTGTGAATGAGGTAGGACTACAGTAACTAGATTTAAAAGAAACCTTGTTTCAGTTACACAAAACATCATGTATCAAGTGTAAAATTATACAGAGTGTTCGTTTTAAATTTCGAAATTTTGGCACTTGAAATCCTTTATTTACTCGTGATATATCACCCCACCAAAATGTTATATGTATTCTCATCCCGCCGAAGTTACCGGGGTGAGATCAATTGATTTTGTATCTCTATTCAGACACTTGGAATTGAAATTGTTTTAACATTCCAAGTTGTATTGGAAGAGGCCCAAGACATAGCTTTACGTGAAGTGCTTTCACAAGATTATTGTGATTATGGAATAAAAAGTAGGGAAGAAACGTCAGTTTTTAAGACTTGAGGAAGTCCCTTAGATATTCCTCCCTAATTTTGGACCTCAGCAAGATCCTCGGACCATTAATTGTATTTTTATTTCATGAATTTGGTTATTATTGTTACTAAATATGACTGGTTAATTTAAACATGTCTGGTGTTTAAAATAATTATGGTCTCAGTGCTGAAATCTAAACCCCCAGATAGAAGCGCGGGCGGAATTCATACATTCAATTAATTGCATTATGGTGTATAGTAGAATTAGCTTCAAAGTTAATGTTAAGAGCATTTTTAAATAGGCACTTCCAATGGTGAATGGGTTTGAAAATATTGGGGGTAATATTATTTGATTGAGAGCATGATTCCCCCTCATGTAGGTGGTGTAGTATAATCTAGCAAAATTTGGACTTTTTTAAAAAGGTTGCTTAAAAAAATGTTTATATTTTTTAACAAACCGAATACAAGATGTTTTTAAATCGATAAAAACATGCCAAGTTCTACCTCATCAAGTAGGAACATGTAAAAGCTTTATACTTATGAGTGAAAATATAGAGGAACGTGCTTTGCTTTCACAGATAGATGCCAAAATTACTACTCATGCATCAAGTACCCATGCATATGTAGTACATAGATATAGAAAAATAAAACATTTATTCATAAAACACCTACAAAATGAAAGCATAAGAATAAGTATAGAAATGTGCACATTGCAAATGATCAAAAAACATTAATTAATATAGACTGGTCTTCTTCATAATTCGTAAAAATTCATCCTGACTAATTTCACCGTCCCCATCCCGGTCAGCCTCATCGATCATCTCCTGCAACTCCTCGTCCGTTAAATTCTCCCCCAACTCTTTGGCGACGCGTTTCAAATTCTTAAAACTGATTTTTCCAGTATCATCATCATCGAAAAGACGAAAGGCTTTCAATATCTCCTCCTTTGAATCTTTCTCCGCCATTTTCACGGACATTAACTGTAGAAACTCTTCGAACGAAAGCTTCCCAGTACCGTCAGGGTCGATGTCGGCGATCATCTTTTTAATTTCTTCCTTCTTGGGCTCGAAGCCGAGTGCACGTATGGCCACCTTAAGCTCTTTTGTGTCGATTTTACCAGCACCCTCGGTGTCGAATAAGTCGAAGGCTTCGCGAATGTCGGTCTTCTGTTCGTCTGACAGTTCGAATTTTGGTCCTGTCTTTTTGTTGCGGTTTAAGCCTGTGGCACTAGTTTTCTTAGTCGCACCTTGAGATGCTGCCTACAAAAGATTTGAGTTTATAGGTATGTTTTGAAATGATAAAATTACTCACCATTATTTGAATTTTATAATCAATGAAATTCTAAACACAAGGTATCATAGCAACAAATTGGTTAATTGATGATCAATAGAGGGGCGATAAGTGATGTTACACAGTACACTAGATACGATACAGCTACATTCCAGTTATTGTAGATGAACCTTTTACATTTTGATTTTTTAAGAAAAAAAAATTTCAAAATTAAAGGGAAATGGAAAAGACGCCCAACAAGGTAATGTCAAATTCGATACAACGTTGCCGAGTTTACCCAAATTTTAAGTATATAGAGTGTGTGCCCCAATTGTTTGGTCGTCCCTTTAAAATACAAAAAAATTTTGAAATTAAACATTCAGTTTCTGAGATGGGTGAAAACTAATTTGCTACATAATTTTAGTATCAAAAAATTAAGGGTGTTTTTAAAATTTCCAAGAAACGTTTTTCGCATACCAGTAAAGTGCTCTTTCGGGACGAGATAGGTACCCACAAATGTTATTCAAAAAAGTTTTTCAGAATGAAAAATTCAGTAAACGTGCAAAGTTTCCTAGGCCTACTTTGATCTGTTTGATGTTTATATTTTTTAACTGGATTTTTGTAGTATTTTGTAGTTACTTAAAAAAACGTGTAGCAAATTTGAAGGCTTCAAATTGAAGCCGATAGCACTTTGATATTTTAATTAACATATTTAATGTAGGTAAATTGAGGAAAGAGAGTTGAATTTGAAATACTGGGGTTCTGTATTTATGATTGCATAAATGCACAGTTATCCATTGTTGAGGATAATGGGAATCTTTGACACATAATCTGTATTCACTTCTTCAATCTTCTGTATTCTATTTCATAATCGGCTTCAAAAGCAAATGCAACAGACCTTTCTTTGTGTGGGTGAAAAGTTGCTGTAATGTGAGTTAATGAGTAAATTTCGGCCTACTGGGAGAAACGTTTCAATCCCCGTACGATTGCCTTCGCTTCCTTATTTATGTGACGAATTTGACAAATAAGATCCAACGTTCAGCAAGCTATTACTCCGTTTGTATTGGATCTACAGATTCATCCTTTTTGTTGTATAACTACATTTTTACTAACAATGATTTTTTTACATAAATTACTTCCGAGTTTACAAAAAACGGCATGCGAAGTAGATGCGTATGATGATCCGTTTTCCATTGGGTAATCATTCATTCACTTTCACGGGATGCACGAAACAGATAGGGGAAAATTGGAGAAAATCACACGAATCTGTTTTATTAGGATTTAACTACTGAGTAACATTCAGTATCACCTGAGACAAAAGATCGCATTGACAGTTATCACTTATCACTGCGCCAGTGTTCACCGATTCGTCATGTATATAGTCGAAATTTGACAACACCGCACTTTTCGTTTGTTTTGTTTAGTAACTTTTATTTTAAGCTTTGCATGTGTTGGTGTTGTTGACCATCCAATCCATTTCCATTATCGTTTCTTTCCCGCGAACTGTCCATATTATACGTTAATTGTCTTCGTGTTTCTAAATTCTAATGTGAAAATCGTTTCTTGTGTATACCAAAAATGTCAAAGCCAGAACAACCTTCAGATACAACTGTTGACACCGGCGAGAATTCGGTAAATAATTCAATCACTATTGTCTGACTGACTATAACGGTTTTTCTATGACATGATGTTCTGGTCAATTTAAATTCCCACTTCCAGAATGCCTCATCTTCGGACACATTATCTTCTCGAGGGAAAGGTGAAGACTTCGAGACCAAATTGGAGAATGACCGAAGTAAGCGATTCGACTACTTACTTAAGCAAACAGAGATTTTTTCGCACTTTATGATATCGCAACCTTCCAAAACTGCGAACAAGCCTAAAAGTGGACGACCGAAAAAATTGAAGGAGAAGGCTGATGCTGGTGAACAGTTGGAGCCAGGCGAGTATGTTCACCAAGCCTTTAAATCGCTTTGTACTGACTAATTCAATTTAAAGTCATCGCCATCGTAAAACTGAACAGGAGAGGACGAGGAGCTGCTCGCCGAATCGAATGCCAAGACCAAACCGACGGTGCGCTTCGAATCGAATCCTCACTACATCAAAAATGGGGAAATGCGAGATTATCAAGTGCGTGGACTCAATTGGATGATCTCCTTGTACGAGAACGGTATTAATGGTATTCTAGCAGACGAGATGGGTTTGGGTAAAACCCTTCAGACTATTTCGCTCTTGGGTTTCATGAAACATTATAAAAGTGTGCCTGGACCTCATATCGTCGTTGTGCCCAAGTCTACTTTGGCTAATTGGATGAACGAATTTAAGAAGTGGTGTCCGAGTATTAGAGCTGTGTGTTTAATTGGTGACCAAGAGGCCAGGGTAAGTAAACACTGATCAAATGTTACCATTTACAATTGATAGCAAGTCGAAACTGTGTTCTTGTAATTTATAGGTGCCTGCTTTATTGAGCTATAATGACATTTAAACAAAAGCAATTCGCCCTGGTGCCAAATCCAAGAATATACAGGGTGTTATGAACTGTCTTGCTATGTATTCAATTTGAAAAGTTTTAAATTGTGGCCATTGACATTTGCTGTCAGTTTTTACTTTTGAACTTTTGCATTAAAAACAGTGCAAGCAACATTTAACAAAAATGGTTTCATGTATCAATGTACATACAGAGGGTGTCACGACGAATGCCAGTTGTCTATTTCCCAAAAAGGAAAATTTTCAAAATTTTACAGTCTACGGAGGACTTCGTCTAAAATATTCCTTCTGGTACACCCACCTGCTAAATTGTAGATAGGATACCCCGAGGGAGACCCTATCTATTCTTTAATTTTTAGACCTTACGCAACATTGTATATATATATGTCCTATACCTAAATTTAGACGTTTTTGACTCGTTTTTGAAATTTAATTTTGATGTTACATTTGATGTTTGCAGCGTCCAAATCATAATTGCAAATTTTTTCTAGATGAGAGCTGTTGTCATTTAATTGGCGCTTATTTACTTTTAGAAGAGGTTCTGCTTTAGTGGATTATGTTGATATTTTAATTATAAATAAATACTTTAAACGTAACCCAGCGTTTCAGGGCATTTTCATGTCATTTAGCATGCTTAATTGGTTTCAGGTCAGGTTGTTTTCATACCATTTACCCTACAAAAATGATATTGGTGCATTTTAGTCATTTCAGAAAAATTACTGCTTCTTTATCACGTTATAAGTATAGGGGTAAACAAAATTTTGAACAGCTTTTTAAAAAAGTGGATGCATGTATTGTCGAAATTATTTTGAAATTTTTAAAGCAAACTTATTTGTTTTGTTATTTTAATATCTTCATTTCTTTTGCAAGGAGAGACGAATAGGGGATTACAAAATGTATGAATTTGAAATAAAAACTGTTTATCTTATGGGCACATTCCAACTTTCGTATTTTGTTAAGATATTTGAGAGAAATTATAAATGCCCACCATTGATAAAGTAGTCCAGAGGTCGCTTATTATGAAAGGCCGCGTTTAATTTAGTTTGGACACTGCAATTATTTTATTTAATCATCCCCACCAGTTTCTGAGAGCAATGGAAAAAATTTAGTTTGCTTTGAGGGAGAAACAAGTATAAATCAGGTATGTATACAACATTTCAGGAAATGAGAAGTTAAGAAAATTAAATTTGAAAAAATTTAAAACTGGATATAAAAAATTCGTAACGAATCGAACATTCATAAATGAGTACAAACAAAATTAAAAAAAAAACATTGTCCCTATTGTGTATCGCACCTGTTTTTAAAGATTTGCAGTTGTCCCTTTTTTTGACTAAAAATCTCGAAATTTTAAAAAATCTGAAAATAACTAAGAAATTACCGAAAAACTGAAAATGATAAATTTAGTTAAATGAGCTTAAATGAGATAACAAAAAAAGATAAATAAGTAATGATGTGCCACAAAAATGTCAAAATCAAAAGTTTTACAACAAAACATTCATAGTGGGTAAGTAGATCTTGCTGAATCAACATGGCCCGTTTAATCTACACTGTATCTTTGAGACATTTGAAACCAAAACCACCTCTATATGATTTTTTTAAAAAGTTAAATTCTTAGTTTTTAAGGCACATTTCAGGCTGACTTGTGGCCAAATGAGTCGTACTGTGAAACTTGAATCGTCATCCTCACTCTCCTCTGAATAATGGGCCGGGTATTCTGACAGTACAGGGTGGTCCAAAGTGGACACTCTTATGAAAACATCCTTTATTTTAAGAGATAGACAAAAATGGAGCTAGGTTGAAGCTCAATTTTAAAAAGAAACTCACTAGTGCAAACAGAATTCAGCTATATCCTAATCGTTTGGCCCTGCATTTCTTGAATTTAGTCAATTTCTTTCATGCCCCATAACTTTCTTATTAAAGATAATTGATTTTAGAAAAATCTTACTTAGAGTACTTTTTTATGTAATCCATCGCGATGCATAGTTTTTATTGGTTTTCTTTTAATACGATCCTAAACTAAATTCCTTCATACGGACCAACCTATTTCCTAAATTTTGATGTATCACTTGTTATATTTCTCGTTATATTTATATTAAATATTTGCATTATTGCACTTTATACATTAAAATATTTTTATTGTAGGCATCTAGGTTTCCAATGCGAACAAGAGATGGCAGGATTGTTTAAAACAACAATTTTTTGGTTATCTGGGAATTCTTATGAGATAATCAAAAAATTGTCGTTTTAAACAATCCTACCATCTTTTGTTCGGCATGGATACCTAGATGTTTGCAATACAAATATTTTGATAATGCAATATATTATAATATAATATAAATTAATATAAAAAGTGGTACATCAAACTTTAGGAAATTTTTCGCTCGTCAAAAACTCCATTCTGTTTTCACCAGTGATTTTCTCTTTAACTTTACTGCCAGGGCATCAGAAATTCTGCGATTAAGTATATGGTTACATGAAACGCATAGAAGTCAAAACATTTCCATTCTATACTTCACTTCACTACTCAAAACTAATCAAAATATATTTAAAACTGGAAATCTGTAAATAATGAAAATCGTTTATGATTGATTGACCTCTAGACCACTCTTTTGCTTCGCATCGTGCGCAATTTTTCTACTCACCCGTAATACGCATTATTACAACCTTGTGACGTAATATACTATTGACGCAAAAATAAGCGTCCCAGATCGTCCCAGATAGTTTTAAATCTTTTTATTACAGAGCGTATTTATAAGAGATGTAATGATGCCAGGAGAATGGGATGTATGCATAACATCATACGAAATGATAATAAGAGAAAAATCCGTATTTAAAAAATTCAATTGGAGATATATGGTTGTCGACGAAGCGCACAGAATCAAAAACGAAAAATCGAAACTTTCCGAAATTCTCCGCGAATTTAAGACCACAAACCGCCTACTACTCACTGGAACGCCGTTGCAAAATAATCTCCACGAGCTTTGGTCACTTTTAAATTTCTTACTTCCCGACGTATTTAATTCGGCGGACGACTTCGACGCATGGTTTAACACAAACCTGTGCCTGGGTGATAACGCTTTGGTGGAACGGCTACACGCCGTACTCAAACCTTTCCTGTTGAGAAGATTAAAGTCCGAAGTGGAGAAGCGACTTAAGCCGAAGAAAGAAGTGAAAGTCTACGTTGGGCTTAGTAAAATGCAGCGAGAATGGTACACTAAGGTGCTTATGAAAGATATCGATATCGTGAATGGCGCGGGAAAAATCGAAAAGATGAGGCTGCAAAACATTCTTATGCAGCTTCGCAAATGTACCAATCATCCTTATCTTTTTGACGGCGCGGAACCCGGTCCGCCGTACACGACCGACGAACATCTGGTGTATAACTGTGGAAAATTGGTTATACTTGATAAACTACTGCCAAAGTTAAGGGAGCAAGGTTCTCGTGTCCTTATATTCTCGCAGATGACTAGGATGTTAGATATATTAGAAGATTATTGTCTATGGCGGCAATATAATGTAAGCGTTAAGGATGCGGATTGCTGTCAGATGTTAACTGTACTTGTTTTCAGTACTGTCGATTGGATGGGCAAACGAATCATGAAGATCGACAACGCCAAATCAATGAATTCAACGAAGACAATAGTGCGAAATTCGTTTTCATGTTGTCAACTAGGGCGGGCGGTCTCGGTATAAATTTGGCAACGGCGGACGTTGTAATCATTTACGATTCCGACTGGAATCCACAGATGGATCTTCAAGCTATGGATCGCGCGCACAGAATTGGCCAAACCAAGCAAGTTCGCGTGTTTAGGTAATTCCGTTTGCATTGATTTGTATTGTTATTTTAACGAATCACATATCTAGATTTATAACTGAAAACACTGTCGAGGAGAAGATAGTCGAACGCGCCGAAGTTAAGTTAAGATTAGATAAATTAGTTATACAGCAGGGACGATTAGCTGATAATAAATCGACCACTTTAAATAAAGACGAAATGTTGAATATGATCCGACATGGTGCAAATCACGTTTTTGCCTCCAAAGATTCCGAAATTACCGACGAAGATATTGATACAATATTACAAAAAGGAGAAGCAAAGGTACTTCCCTCTTCCCGCTCCCGTTTTTCTATTATTTCTGCCTTAAATCTTTTTAATTTCCTCTTCTTACACCCATATTTTCCTTTTATAGACTGCAGAGCTTAATCAGAAATTCGAAGCGTTAGGCGAATCATCTTTGCGTAATTTTACAGTCGACACTCCCAGCGAATCTGTGTATAAATTCGAGGGGGAGGATTACCGAGAAAAACAGAAGACTACGGGTATCGGTCATTGGATCGAACCTCCAAAACGTGAGCGTAAAGCCAATTACGCGGTCGACGCATATTTCCGAGAAGCTCTCAGAGTGTCGGAACCAAAAGCACCAAAGGTCAGTAGATAAAAAAAAATTTTAAAATCATTTTTTAATATAAAATTGATTATTCCTGTGTAGGCTCCTAGACCTCCGAAGCAACCAATTGTGCAGGACTTCCAGTTTTTCCCGCCGCGCCTATTCGAACTTTTAGATCAGGAAATCTACTATTTCCGAAAAACGTTAGGTTATAAAGTTCCGAAAAACTCCGAGCTAGGTCCCGAGGCGAGCAAACAGCAAAAGGAAGAGCAAAGAAAAATCGACGACTCCGAGCCTCTCACGGAAGACGAGCAGCAAGAGAAGGAGAATCTGCTAACGCAGGGCTTTACTAATTGGACGAAACGGGATTTTAACCAATTTATTAAGGCCAACGAAAAATATGGGCGCGACGATATCGAGAATATCGCGAAGGAAGTGGAAGGGAAGACGCCCGAAGAGGTGATGGAGTATTCGGCGGTGTTTTGGGAGCGTTGTCACGAATTGACGGACATTGATCGGATTATGGCGCAGATTGAACGCGGCGAGGCGAAGATACAGCGTCGCGCGAGCATCAAGAGGGCGCTGGACGCAAAAATGGCGCGATACAGAGCGCCATTTCATCAACTGCGAATCGCCTACGGCACTAACAAAGGGAAAAACTACATGGAAGAGGAGGATCGATTTCTCGTTTGCATGCTGCATAAACTTGGTTTCGATAGGGAAAACGTGTACGAAGAGTTACGAGCGGCAATTCGGGCGTCACCGCAATTTCGATTCGATTGGTTCTTGAAATCTCGCACCGCCATGGAGTTGCAAAGAAGGTGTAATACTCTCATCACTTTAATTGAGAGAGAAAATCAAGAATTGGAAGAGAAGGAGAAGGCGGAACGTAAGAAAAAGTTACCCAAAGCTGTTACCATGCCAGGTTTGCCTACACAACCTCTCAACAAGACTGGACAAAAACGCAAAAACGACAATAGCATTGGAAATGTAGAAAAAAAAAAAAAGAAAAAATGAGGTAGTTTTTTCCGTTATTAGTGTCATTTGTAGCTTTTTTTTAAACATTGATACTTAAACAGTGCTTGTATGAGCTGTATGTGTATGTCCATGTATTTATTTTAATTAGGAGTATATATCAGGTAGGCGATTCTCTTATTTACTTGCACAGTTTAATTATTTTTTAAATAAAGATTGTCTTATTTTAAATGTTTTACTCTTTTAGTTTAAAACACTGCATTTGCGACCATTTATGATTGAGGTTACAGATCTGTTTTTTTAGGATTTTCCCGAAATTAAAGTAAAACCAGTGTCACAAGTAAATAATCAATAACAATAATTGTCTTGAAGTTATAAACAGTTAACTAGCCATGTGAATTGAGGCTTAGATTTGTACACTGTGTACTGTTAGCTATAGGGGGCAGTATACGTATTTTGAAAGAGTACACTTATATACACCAGAATAAGCATAAAGGGCGATACTCGCCAATAAAGGAGCACAGACATTGTATTCCCGACAAGCGAAAGTACAGTGAGCCATGGTTTCGGTGGGCAATGATCATTCAAACGGCGATATGCCTCCAATGACGTTCAAATCCTTTGCGCGAGGAGATGTTGTGGAATGCCGCCCGTCCAGGGACATGATTGTGGTGTAACCATTTCCGGATGTTAGGGATTATGTCTTTTAGCGGACGCGTTCCCTGACTGCTGCCATTTATTCACGTTCTCATGTTCGGTGGCCGGACAAGGAGAGAAAGGCGTTGCTACAAATGCGATCGTTATAAACAGGGTGCAGGTGCCGTTCCTGCGTAGGATACTGCTTCAATAAATTTCCTGCAGAAGAACAAGAGGAGGATGCTTAGCAATAACGCAAAAGGAATCGAAGAGAGCCGTCATTGTATATATACAATGGTGCCGTTCTGTAAGACCCAAAAGGTAGGTCTTAAGGAATAGGGATTAAAGCGAGACCTGTTTCTTGACCACGTGAGAATGTTTTGAGTCTATCAAACCATATGTTCAAGCCATACAGTGCGTAAATTTGAACTCTGAACAATTCTTCCAACATACTTTTTTATTCAATGATACAGACAAGAGAATGCCTGACAGTTCTGCAACCCACCTTACACACAAATGTGACGGCAATAACAAAAGAATCTCGAAAATGATTAATTATCCATTGGCTGACCAGAAGACCCTGTATGCAATGTGGTGTATACATACAGCAACACCCTGCACCCATTTTTTTCTTGAAGAGGACCATTACGACTTTAAAAAAAATGGGGTGGCTGTTCCAACTCGTGGTAGGTTTTGATTTATGACGTCATATGCATTCAATTAGACCCAGCAAGTTGCATATCAAATGAAAGGTGTTTATTAGAACTAATCCAATATTATTTAGTTATTGGCACTGATTCGAGATATGACGTCATAATAACCACTTTTATGAGGTTGGCTCCCAAACGAAAACGTTGGACCCTCCATTTATTTGGAAAAGTGCTTGTTTTGATCCCTTCTATCACCCAATTTTTTTTATATGCCTACATATATGTAACACCCTGTAAATATGCGACGCAACTAGTAAATTTTATGACGTTTGTATACGACGACTCTGTTTCAGTTTGTTGAAAGACACAATATTTAAAAATGTTTAGTTTTCATCGGGAGCTACAAGCGACTACACCCAATCGAATGAAATAAACGAATTTTTTTGTCTAGTTTTTTTCCCACGAAATCCATGTAGTTACTTTTACTTGGAACACTCCGTATACAGCTAGAAAGTTGATTTTTTTAGGAAGAATGTTTTAAAACAATCTATTTTTCTTGGGAGGTTTCATCTTTAGTACTAAACTGCTTCTGATAAACGTAACTAATAACGGGTCTTTTTTTAAATTTGACGTCGAAGTTGACTTTGCAACATTGAATTATTGTGAACCCTCTAAGATTATATTATTATTAAATTATTGTAAGGTAATCTTTGTGTGTTCACAATGAGCTTGTCATGGCCAACTTCGACGTCGAATTTTTAAAAATTATAAAGTTCTCCTGTGAGATCGAAGGGACTTCAGCGCATTTTTGTGTCGTGTGAGTCATACAGGAATTCAATATAGTGCCACGAGAATGCCAGAAAGAGTCTTCAGCAACGTTCTTAATGCCCACTCTCCACTACGTCAACCATGGACTTCCTAGGCTCCTATATATTGCGCGCCATCAAGGGGAATGAGGTGAGGCACACGTCGATGTTAGTTGAACCTTAGTGTATGGTTGAACTACTATATAATATAAGGATTGCTCGATCACTGAATTTTTTCGCCGCGTGTAGTGACGTCACTCGCGGACCCAGTACCAGCGCATGCTTTGATTAAGGCCGATTCCCATTATAGCAGCATCGAGCAGCGCGGCGCGGTGAAAAGCTGCTCTCAATTGTTCGCATGTAAATAAGTAGATCCGTTTTCACCTAGGCAGAGCAGAGCGGCGCGGTGCAGCGCAGCAAATTTTAAACGCGTCGGGAAGCATTGGAATACGCGGCGCTGCTTTGAAACGCGCCGCTGTGCGTGTAGACGGACCAGTGGGAATTGAGGAGCGAAGCAGATCAGCGTGGTGCTGCGGCTTGTGAAAAGCATTTGTTTGTCTTCTGTGTTGAGCTTGCGTGTGTTAGTGGATTCGCTATGGACGGGCAAAGAATAGAAAAATTGATTGTACTCGTCCGCTTTCTTTTTCTTCTTTTTTCGTCGTGTACATGGCATAGTGCCGCTATAAATATTATGAAATCATCTGGTGATGATGACGATGATGGCTCTTCTTCGAGCGTGTAAGAATACATTCTCCCTTAAATTGAACACAAACAGAAACGCTGCTTCGTCACGCTTCCAAATGGTGCTTAAGTGGGAATACCCCTCTACAATTTGCTGCTAACGACGCGCCGCTCTGCGCCGCGCCACTCGGTGCTGCTCTAATGAGAATCGACCTTTAGGATTACCATAAAATACGTTCAAATGGGTGTTGTAGGCAGGCATTTAAATTAGAAACACTGTCCATTAGTCTCGCTTACAGCACCATATCCATTCCTTGCGTATTAATCCATCGGTTTTAGGGAAGTTATGGTAAATGACTTCCGGGTTAGTGATTTTTGTGCAAACACGGCTGTTGTTACAGTCTAATATTGCACATCGGCGTCCTGGCGTCCATGCAAATACGTTCACAACTTAGCAAATTATAACTGTCAATTCTGACAGCCGGGTCCGTTGGTGACGTCACATATGACTTAAACTTGAGCAACATTACAAGTATAGGGATCGAGCAATGTTTATATTATACAGGGTGACAATTTGAAAACTTACCGCCCCCCATATCTTAGTAAATAAACGAGATATTTAAAAAAATCAAAATCCGTTTCGGTAATTCGGAGAGGGAATCACAATGACATAGTTGGCGACGCACCCCCTCCAACCCCCTGCGCCCCAGCCACCCCAACTTTTAAATCTTAAATAGTGACCCCCCCATGTGTGATACGTCGTCGGAAAGCTCTGAAAAAATGCTTTCCAACCATACCAAATAGCATTACATTTAGGTTAGTAATTATCGTGCAAATCAAAAAATAAACTAATATGATACATTTGAAATCTGTCGTATTTAAAACGCAATCGGCGAACATAGACGAACTAAGACAGAGAATAATTCAAGAATGTCGAAATATTGCAAAACCAACATTTGAAAAGGTTCGACAAGAGTTTGAGAATAGATTATAACTGGCGATTAAAAATGAGTTGCTGTCGAGTCGGCTTTGGAAGTTCAAGTTAAATACGATTTTCCATGTAAACAAACAGGGCGACTCGACAGCAACTCATTTTTGATCGCCTAGTAATACTGTGTTACCAATAACGGAAAACATTTTGAACATTTATTGAAATAAAAGCCAACCTTAGAAAATGTATCATATTGGTTTATTTTTTGATTTGCACGATAATTACTAACCTAAATGTAATGATATTTGATATGGTTGGAAAGCATTTTTTCAGAGCTTTCCAACGACGTATCACACATGGGGGGTCACTATTTAAGATTTAAAAGTTGGGGTGGTTAGGGCGCAGGGGGTGTGTCGCCAACTATGTCATTGTGATTCCCCCTCCGAATTACCGAAACGGATTTTGATTTCTTTAAATATCTCGTCTATTTACTAAGATATGAGAGGTGGTAAGTTTTCAAATTGTCACCCTGTATAGTATCCTTGGGTTGAACCCATATGATTTGAGAAGGTGTGCGGGTTGTTGGGTAGGTTGACAACACATAGGTCACGTCCCGAACGAGGTTTTCAACTAAGGCACCTCGTGCGTCCGTCGTCGGGGAGTACCCGCAATGGAAATTATTGTTTGGCGCCTTTCGCTTTTATCTCGTATACATGCCTTATATGTGCACAAAGCACTCGAGCGAAAATGGTTATACGTAATTTTTTTCAATAAAGGTTTATATCAGTTTCATGTGTTTTTTATCTTTTGCTTCATACGAATCAAAATTCGGTAAATGTTTTTTGAACTGATTTCTGTAGAATTTATTAAAAATATGTGTTGTTCCGACTAGATCAAGCGAACCAAAATCTTACGATTCTAGCAGAGATGAGATAAAATTAATTTTTTAATGCCTTTTGACCTCCTTTAACATAGGAAATGTTCCTAAGTACATACCTACCTACATGAACCAAGCGAAACCTCCTTTTCATAAATTGGGGTCAAGTAATATTCAATAGTATAACGTGCGATCATAAATGAGCTGCTGTCGAGTCGCCTTTGGAAGTTCAAGTTAAGTACGATTTCCCATGTAAACGAAAATTCCAAAGGTGACTCGACAGCAACTCATTTTTGATCGCATGGTATTGGTTTAATGGTTTAATATTCTTAAGAGAACAAAAACTAGTTTAATCCAGTGTTGCTTATACTATTTTTAGCGCATTTTTGCAAATTTATTTGTAAAAAGTAGCTTTTAATCTCACTTTGGCTGGCTGGCTTTTAATCTCACTTTGGCTGGCTGG